TAAATTTAATTTAATTCTAAGAAAAAACTCCTCATTTGATAAAATCTTCTGGGAAAACTGGAAAGCAGCCTGGCCGAAATTAGGCTTAGACCAACAGCTTATACCACACTCCACAATGCATTCTAAATGTTGCAAGATCTTAATGTTAAAGATCAGACTATAAAAAACAATTAGAATAAGAATATCACGAATCACTCACAAATATAGATAGGGGATATATTCTCAGCCACACAAGCGACAGAGGCAATTACAAACGGGAAAATAAATAACTGATTACCTCAAACTGAAAAGCTTCTGCACAGACAAAATTAATTCACATTAGATAAGAAGGGAAGTAGTTGAATGGGGGAAAAATCTTTATAAGATTTATAACATAATATTTATAATTTATAAACAACTTATAAATTTATAAATGATAAAGATTAAAAATAATATATATATGTATATAGTATGTAGGTATATTTATATACATACATATATCTTTGTGTGGGTGTATATATATACACATACACACATACACACACTCATTCTTCAATAGATAAGTGATCAAAGGATATGAATAGTTCTCAAAAGAAGAACTGCAAAATATTTACAACCACAAGAGAAAATCCTCCAAATCACTAATAATAATCATGATAACTATGAAAATCAAAACAAATCAGAGGTTTCACCTCACAACCTAAAAATTGGCCAAGATGGCAAAATATGGCAATAGTCAATGTTGGCAGAGTTGTGGAACAATAGGCACACTAATGCATTGTGGGTGGAGCTGTGAAATGGTACCACCATTTTGGAAAGCAATTTGGAATTAAATAATTGAAATGACTAAACTGTCCATACCCAATCAACCAGAGATTCTATTACTGGCTTTATCATCCAAGGAAGTCATTGATAAGAAGAAAGACCCCATATACACCAAAATATTTATGATAGCATTTTTACGGTTGGAAAGAACAACCACTCACCAAAAAATCAAAAGTAAATAACAAAATTGTAAAGATCAAACAGGATTTGAATGAAGAGATAGGAGAGGACAGCCCCAACCTACCTTTCCTGGAGGTGAGAAATCCACAGGTATTATGCATTGTATAGATTTTAGGACTTTTTCAATGTATTGATCAACAATGCTGACTCTTTTTTTAAACACTATTTGTCATAGCAGTGGCTCTCTAAGAGGGCAGGATATTGGAGATAACTGTAATTTTGTAAAATATAGAAGACACCAATTAAAAACTCATTTTTTTCAAAGCATAGATCCAGTAAATGGCAGAGCCAGAATTTGAACTCTGATCTTGTAACTCCAAGTTCAGTTGTCTTTATACCACGTAATGCTTTCTCCAAAGAAGATCTCAACAACATTCTGCAGTCAATACTCTAGATCTTTTTACATTAGGGGGAGGGTACCAGTGCAATTCAGTGGCATCAAAGTAGATAGGGTGCTGGGCCTGGAGTCAGGAAAGCCTGAGATCAAATCAGGACTCAGACACTCATTAGCTGCGTAACCCTGGGCAGGTCACGTCACCTTGGTCTGTCTCAGTTTCCTTAACTGTAAAATAAAGATAACAGCACCTATCTCCCAAGGTGGTCATGAGGGTCAAATGGGCTAGTATTTGTAAAGTGTTTAGCACAGTGTCTGGCACATAGCAGGCACTTAAATTCTTCCTCTCTCTCTTCTTCCTTCCTTCCTTCCTTCCTTCCCCTTCCTTCCTTCCTTCCTTCCTTCCTTCCTTCCTTCCTTCCTTCCTCTCTTCCTTCCTTCCTTCCTCCTTCCTCTCTTCCTTCCTTCCTTCCTTCCTCTCTTCCTTCCTTCCTTCCTCCCTCTCTCTCTCCCTTCCTTCCTCCATTCCTTTTTTCCATCCTTTACATTGAAGTCATAGTATATCAGTGTATAGATTGACTTGGTTTGGAGTATCCAAATCCAGGTCTTCAGAATTCGACATTGCCTCTCTCTTTCTTTATATTGAGCTGAAACATGCCTTTCTGCAATTTATACTTCTCATTGTAGATCTGCTTGCTGCAGCTACAGAACAATTTACAAATGGCTTCCAGATGATAGCTGCCTTCACATATTTGAAGTGTCTCATTTCTCCCTAGTTGTGTTTTACTCATCTCCAAGCTAAACAGCCTCAGTTCCTTTGATTTTTTTCTCCTCTGTAGTTTTGATTGTAACTGATCCCAGTTACTCTTCTCTTCATGACTTCCAGTTTATCAGTTTGACTTCATTTTTCCTCTTTTGAAGTTCTTTGTTATAAAAGATGGCTCTCTGGGAAAGGCAGAAGAGGGATAAATTGAGAAATATTGGCGATGTCAAAACAAAACAGATTGCTACAATTTTATTTTTAAAAATGTAGTCTCCAGAACAAAATGGCATCCTCAGGCTGTATCCTGCTGGCACAGAATACAGTGGGATGGTCCCCTCACCCCTCCTCCCATTCTTCACTCTGGGCATTCTGCTTCTATTAATAAAGCCAAAGACTAGACAAGCTTTATTTGTCAGCCAGCTCAGGCTGACTTCTTTGGAATCTGGAGTCCACTAAAGTTTTTGAGTCTTTTCCACATGAAATTCCATTAAACCAGGTGCTTCTGTGCACTTAAAAAAATCTAACATAAAGGTAGTAATTTTTTTTTAAAAGATCACATTTCTTTAGATACGTGATTTTCTCAGTGCGGTCACTCTTTCCACTGATGCAAATCTCAAGCACTTAGTCTCTGAGTTGATGAATCCATGTGTTGCTGAAGCAAAAAGAATTCACTGAAGTTGGATAGAGGAAGGTCAAGTTTAATTAGCATAATGTAGATTTGGCCCACCATTCTAGAATCTTTCCCCTCTTTATTCTGTCAGATGATGTACAAACTCTCTCTGCTTTGTTATCAACATATTTAATAAGCATTCCTGCTACTGTCTGTAATAGGGATAGGGATGGGGCCTGTATTCCACTGGTTTGAGGAATTCCTAGATAAGGCAATTGCCTCTGCCAATGCAGGCTGGCACCCTTCTACAGTCTTAGAGAGTTGTCTATGGAATGTAGAGATTGTGAGTTGCCCAGGTCACGCAGTCAAGGATGTGTTGCAGGCAAGAGTTGAACCTAGGGCTTTCTGGCTTTGAGTCCAGCTCTCTATTGTGGTGCACTTTGCGTAAGTTGCTGATAAAACTTTCCAATGGGACAAGGTCAAGCAGAGACCTCCTTTTATCTGGGTTGACACGAATGCTCACATGATTGTACATAGGTTGTACCATCATCCTGCCTTCTCTCTGAGTTATTCTCAAATTCCCAATCAATATTTATTAAGCACCTACTATGTACCAGGAAGTGTGCTAGGTGTAAGGAATAGAAAGATGAAAATGAAACAATCCCTGCCTTCAAGAATCTTACATTTCATCAGGGGAGACAACACGTAGATATACATACATATAAGCATATGTGTATATGTGTATACATACGTGTATACGTGTGTGTATGCACACACACATATACAAGGCACTGAGATTGGCCACTAAGGGTTCAGTTCTTATGAACAGGAACACAATGCTCAGGCTGAAACCCTGAAACAATCCCACATGAACTTGACCATGCTTAGGTATCTTTCTGGTCTGCTCATCTTTATTCTGTAAGAGGGTTATGAATTTCTTTATGTACATAGCAGAAAGAAGAAGTATTTTCCAGTTGGTTGCTGAGCCAAAAATGATGGCATTAACTGGACAAAATGTCTTCTTTCTTGCCTAGCTATGTGTGAGTGAGGAGCCAAGGACTGATGGAAGCTTCAGGTAGTGAGAGAAGCCACAGGCCTTTATCTCCCACCTGAGCCTCTGCCCTAAGGCCTTGTGAGCTCATGGTCCTTCTGTTGCTTTCTTTCCTGTTGTGTCTCTTTCCTGCTTTTTGGTGGGGTCTTGATTAGACTATGCGGTGACCTTGTGAGTTTCAAAAAGTCAGAAGAATGACTCACCAGGAGTCTGAGAGCCAGAGTCCAGGCCGGTATTTGGGCCACCAGAACAACCCCAAGGAGCTACTGGTACTCAGCCCAGGAGTGGACTGAATCCACAACCAAGATGGCAGCTTCTACAAGAGAAAAGGACTTGTCTATCAACTATGCTCTATCTGGAATGAACTTAATAGGGAGGGCAAATGTTTTGTAGAAACTACTCTAAATTTGAGATCACTTTCACCAGGGACCAAAGTGGTTTAGGGGAGAGTGTGGGAGTGCTCAAAGGTGTTGGGATGTAGTGTATGTCCTTCTGTTTTGGTTCTGTCTTCTCACCAAATGTATTTTTTTTTTTTGCAAGGCAATAGGGGTTAAGTGACTTGCACAGGGTCAAGTATCTGAGGGTGGATCTGAAGTCAGGTTCTCCTCACTCCAGGGCCAGAGCTCTATCCATTGTACTTAGCTGCCCCCCAGCAAATGCCATTTTGTAAAAGCTAATGTATTAATTAGTTAAATGATACTGGGCTACTAATCACTGGTGCTTAGGATTGGAGAGAACCCTCTACAATGGGGGATGGAGATAAGAGCATTAGTGAAGAACTCCCCCTAACCACTTCAGGGTGCCCCTAGGTCCTTGAGGACATATAACCTTCCACATTCTAGGAATCTGACCCACTAGAACACTAGGCACAGAAATAAAAGGACATCGAGATGGGAAGCAGAAGAAGGCTAAGAAGGCTGTTTTGGACTATAACGTTCATAGATGGGAGGAGTAATTAATAAGGTAACTTGTAGGAGACTTTGCCGAAAGTCTTGCTGGCATCCAGATAATTACCACCTGTCAAGCAGGAGGATGCTGAATAGAAGACACTATCAAAAATTCAATTCAACTCAACCCAACAGAAATTTCTGAAGTGCCTCTGACATGTAAGACTAGTGAACACAGGACACTAGCCCTCAGCCCTTTGGCAACCATTAGAAAGCTGATCTCCTCTATATCCAGTGAGGCAGCACAGAATGACAGTTCATCTCAGTTCAATAAACCAAGCATTTATTAAATGCCTATTGTGTGCCAGGTATTGTGCTAGACAGTTGGAGATATAAAGACAAAAATGAAAAAGAGTCGCTGCTCTCAGAGAGGTTAGGTTCTATGCAGGTGCTACATCAACCAGTATATATACATTGCGTATCTACTGTGTGCCAGGCACAGGGCTAGCCTCTGCACATAACACCAGCCACTGGGCATGCAAAGGCAAAAAATGCCCTCAAGGAGCTTCCATCATGGGGGAGAAGGAAGTGAGTTTCATATGATGAGATTTGTTCTTAGGCTCCAGATGCAGTGATATGACTTAGGCCGCGGTGGCTTCCTCAGATTTCACAGGACATTTCACAGCCCTCAGCAATCTTCTTATTCAGGGAGAGTCTCTGACTGATTAATTGGGTTCTAGCCACTGTGTGAGGAGAAAAGAGAAGGAAAAGAATCTGAAACAAGAATAAACCCTCCCCAACAACAACTGGCCTTTTGCTATGTTTCTGTTCCTCTATTCTATTGTATTTGGACAGGTGCCGTCCAAAGATAGTATCTAGGTTTAGTCATTTCACATATGACCCCCTCCAGGCCAAATGGTCAGGTCATCCACCTCAGAGTGGGTACCCACTTGTGTGGTCCAATTTGCAGGGAGGCTTGGGAGAGAAGTACTTCCCACACTCTTTCCTGGAGAGGTTAATGGGATTAGTGACTTCAAAAGAACAGGCGATGGATGTTCTAAATTGATCTTGCCTTTGCCACTGCCTTTGATAAATTTCTTTTTTTCTTTCTTTCCTTAAGTGTGCAATCAGGATAATATATTACCTTGAATTTTATTCCATACATGTATAGTATGTGTGTGTTTGTATGTGTATGTGTGAATATTCATATTTCCTCCCCCCTAGAATGTAAGCTTCCTGAGGGTATAAACTATTCCACTTTTTCTTTAAAGGCAATTGGGGTTAAGTGACTTGCCCAGGGTCACACTGCTAGTGTCAAGTGTTTGGTCTGAGGCTGGATTTAGACTCGGGTCCTCCTGACTTCAGGGCCGGTGCTCTAGCCACTTCACCACCTAGCTGCCCCTGAACTATTCCACTTTTGTATTTGTATTCCTAGGAACTACAACAATGCCTGGCACACAGTAGGGACTTAATGACCTAATAAATGTTTGTTGGAATGAATTGAATTATAGTGCTGCCCTGCTTCCCAGAATGTGGTGGGGATTAACTAAAGATTAATATAGGGATAACAATTCATTTCCTTAGCTCCCTGGGCCTGCTCCCATGGGAATTTCACAGTCCAGCTCACTCAGGCAGCGTAGATGTCCACAAAAAGACCCCCCCCCCACTTATGCAAGACCTAAGCTAGACTAGGAGGATAGAGCTGGCCAGTTGCCCACTGCAGCCAGGCTTCTGCTGCAGGACCCACACATCTCCCATCCCCCTGGACAGCTGGATGGTGTGTCATCTTTCCCAGAAATCTCACCTCAAGACAGTTGGTTTCTTTCCTGGAATCCTCTTCAAACACTCATAAGCCTATTGGTGTCAGGGGGTGAGCCCTTGACAGGGAGCAAACGTATTTACGATGGGGATGATTGTGTATCTTGGATGGCGATTTGGCTGTGGGCTCTCCGGTCATCAAAATGTGAAGCAGAGAAGGAGGTGAGGGCTGCTCTGTATCTGTGGAAATGAAGAATGTTTCCTGAATAGGCACATCCAAAGGTTCTTCTTATGCCCCCTTCCCCAGGGGAAAAAGTAATTTCCTACCAACAACCTCTCACCCTTGGGTTCAGTTCATCAGTCATAAACCATCCCCAATCAGCTGGCTCCTTTCTGCCTCTTTGGGTCATCTTGAAAAGCCAAGGACATCAGAAGGAAATATGGCTTTATAATAGTTTTTATTTTACATTTCAGGAATATAAGATTACTGCGGTGCCTGGCAGCACTACTCTGGTTAGGGTTTCCGACACATAAACCCCTGAAGACTGGGGTTTAATGTTTTGCTGTTTTAATTCACAACAGGCTGAAACTTGGCATGCAAACACTGAAGACATTGCTTGGAGCTGGTGAGTAGCCTACAGGAAAGTGTTATTGTACAGGGGTGAACAGTAAACCCACCCTAGAAAAGGAAACAGCTTTAATTGGATTCCCCCGTAATGGACCATCCTGGCAAATATTCTGACTCCTTTGACTCAGTTATACTTCGATACTTCCACATTAAGGAATTTTCAGATGGAAGAGAAATAGGGATAAAATGAGGGTTTGCAGGTGGGAAAGTATAGAGGCAATATTTGAATTCCTTTTAAGAAACTCCTAGTTGTGTGACCTGAGTGAATCATTTAACCTTTCCAGGCCTTAGTTTCCTTATCTGCAAAATGAAAACGTTGGATTAGTTACCCTCTGGGGTCCCTTCCAGCTCTAAATCTGTGGTTCTATGATTCTTTAATTAACTAAATTAATTATTTAATTTAATTCTATAATTCTTTATGGGGAAAATGCCCAGTAGTGAGGGCATCTGGCTATGGAAAGAAGGATATTGCAATGGCGATATCCCACCCAGGGTCTTATGGAGGTAGGGTGGGGATTTCTACTTAAAATTTTTTTTCAGTGGCAGAAAATAGAGAATTGCTCCAATAATTGGTATGGGTGAGTGCAGGGAAGACAGAAATATGTCCTTTAAGTCATTAAAAGCCTAGAAACTGGAAGTGATCTCTTAAGTCCATGTAGTATTTATTTATTAAGCACATAGTATGTGCCTGGCCCTGTGCTAAGTGTTGGGGATTTAAAGAAAAGCAAAATTATGTTTCTTGCCCTCAAGGATCTTACATTCTAATAGGAGAAAGAACCATGTTTATACCTTTCTGTGTATTCCCAGCACTTACAGCAATGCTTGGCACATAGTAAACACTTAATAAATACTAATTGACTTCATTTGACCACCATTGCCTTACTCCTATGCCTTGTCTATCCCATCTGAGAACCCTGGGCCTTGACATTTGGACCTTTAGGACTTAAAGGCCTGGGCATGTGCCTGGCAGCTGAATGCCCTTGATGTGTTATCTCCTCCACTTAGAATGTAAGCTCTTTGAGGACAGCACTGTCTTTTTTTTTTTTTATCTCTGTATCCTTAGTGCTTAGCACAGTGCATAACACCAAATAGCTAATGAATTTTTTCCTGCATTCATTCAACAGAATTTCCACAGAGAACCTGTTCAACATACTAGAGACCTTTCTAGGTCATCATATGTTTCATGAATATCGTGGAAACATTTGGACTATTCACCTAATATTCCTCATTTTCAACACATGACAAATGCATTTCCTTGTTGATGTCCTTCATCCACTTCTTGCATGAAAGTCATAATTGGAAATATAGTGCAGCCTGTTTGCATCTACCATTTATGAATTCCTTGCTCTCTGAGTCATCTGATTTTTGATTCATTGGAGATTGCAGTGTTCCAAGAACTGTAGATACAAGGCATCCTTGGCAGAATATATGTATTAAAAAGATAGGGAGTTTTTTTGTTGCTTTTGTTTTGTATCAGAAACAACAGAATTGGAATTGAAAATGTTGAAAGTGGAATGCCATTTCCTACACTCCCCCATCTTCTTAGTGAATTCTGGGTCAAGCCCATTGTCCATCTTTTACTGCCTCTCCAGGCACTTCCCAGGCATATGTCCTGGTGGCCAGTAGGTCAGTGGAATGGTTATTTAACCACAAAACTGGAGGGTGTTTTTATCTATTTAGTTTAGACTGTGAGGCTGATCTTTATGCAAACTCATTGACCTCCCTGAAAAGGCCTTATATTGTCCTCAGAATTGATGCAATCAATTGATGCAATTGATACAATAGAATCCTCAAACTGGAAGAATTCACCCTGTACGAGGAAGCCACTTCTCATTGGGACCTTGTTCAAGACATTCTCCATGACAGTAATAAATAACTATAGTGAACACATGTCTCCTTAGTTTATGCTTTGCTTTGAAGTTAATTGACAAGCAACATGGTATGTGGATAAAGGTGGGGGTGGGGGAGAGAAAAGAGGAGCAAGTATTTATATAGCATCTACTGTGTGCCAGGCACTGTTTTGAGTGCTTTTTACAAATATGAACTCATTTGATTCTCATAACAACCCTGAGAGGTGGTAGGTGCTATTATTACCCCCATTTTACAGTTGAGAAAATTGAGGAAGACAGAGATTAAGTAACTTGGCTAGGGTCACACAGCTAGAAAGTATCTAAGGCTGGATTTGAACTCAGATCTTCCTGACTCCAGGCCCAGAGCCGCAACACCTAGCTGTCTCAAAAAGCTACTTACTTCATCAAGAGGTGTACTTGAAACCAGGAATACTTGGGTTTAAGTCCCAACTCTGACACATACTAGATGTGTGATTCTGGATAAGTCATTTAACTTCTTAGTACTGTAGGGACTCTCTAAAACTTCAAGTTGCAGAGAAGGTGCCTCCAGTGGTAGATAGAGAGAGATTCTTCACCAGTCTTTCCCTGTACTGATTAAATCCAAGATCTAGTTCCTGTTCTTCTCCCATGTTGTTAATAACCAGAAAGTCCTTGAATAGAGCTAGGATTTACTCTGTATTTATCAATAAATCCTATTCGAAAACTGTCTTTAAAATCTCTCTTCTTCTGTATTGAGACAAATAACTTTTTGTAATAAATAAACAGTAAACATGGTAGGATATTATCTTTTCTGTGTCTTTTAGTCCACTGTATAACTGTAAAGATGTGACCTGCTTCAGAAAATTATTTGCAGAAGCCGACCCTTTCCTTTCTCATATTTTCACCAATGATGCCCTCAATACACATAGAGATCATTTTCAAAGATTTATAAAGATGAACTAATGTGAAAATATGTGTAATAGGAATATATATGCATAGCCTATATCAGATTGCGCGATGTCTTGGGGAGGGAGCTCAGGAGTGAGGGGGAGAAAAATTCAGAACTCAAAAGCTTGTGGAAGTGATTGTTGATAATTCAAAATAAATTAATTAAAAAAAGATTTATAAAGATGAGAAAGTCAGTCTATGGATTGGTAGTTATTGATATTCTTAAATGTCTTTTTGGCATTCATTTTTGCATTTGGTTATAATATTCTCTATGTTTTTTCTTCATTCTTTTGATATCTTCTTCCTTGAGATGTCTTAGAAGAAATTCCTTGGTGTTTTTCAGTACTGAGGGAAAAAAAAACCAATTTCCTCAACATGTTCTTGTCTTGCCTACTGCTCTTCTTGATGCTGTCTTCTTACTTGCAATTTTAACTTTCTCATGTGACACACTAGGTATTAACCAGATGTTAATACACAGATCTGGTGGTTCTACTTTTGCTGACCATGAAAAAATGTCATCACAAAAGCACAGATATGTGTTCCACTTTCTGCTAATTTATTGTCCTCTGAATTTTTATCCTGAATATTCTCAGGATCACACAATTAAGTTGGTATCATGCCAAGAATTTTGCATGCTTGTTTGTTTTCCACTTGTTTTATTGTTGCTATTTTGAGACAACACTGTTTGTAATATTGTGCCACTCTCCTCTGTAGTACTATACAAATGAATTTGTACTCTAAAGCTACATACCCTTTGGCTATTCTATCGCTCCTCTTGGAAAGACATCAAGTGTTGGCTGAGAAGGTTTCGAGGCTCATTGCCTTCTTGATTGTGACAATCGCTTTTTATTAGTTATACTTGGACTAGAAATGATGAAAGTCAAGGTTGGTATCTTTGCCTTTTTCATACTTTAGCATCTAAACCTCCTTTGAAGAGGTCAGCGTGAAGCTATTGGAATTGTTCCCATTGTCTCTCTCTCCTCTGTCCTGTGTTCTCATTTGAAGTTTATTTTGACTCTTACTTGAGTCAAACCAGTGGTTTGGCTTGCACAGAAATATCTTTTTCTGATATAGTTCTCATGTCAGAAACCAATCAGTTTCTAGCTAAGATTTAGTCAATTTCACTTTTGGTGATGTTGTTCAGTGTTTACCATATCCAGTACCTTCTGACTCTCTTCATGATGAAAATATGCATGCTCTATAGGTGGGAGGCTCCTGAGTAGTCTACAGACATTTACTCTCTTATTTCTGTCTTAAGTCATATTTTACAACATGCTATCTGAAGTGTCCCTGTGCAAGACATTGTGACTGTGTCCCATGAAAGGTTATTTCTTGTTACCTTTGTGTATGCAATGGAAACCAGCTATTCCAATACCTTCTTCACCTCTCCAAGGAACCCATGAGCTAGCCTTGTATTTAGTTGAAACCTCATCATGTCTTTGCTTTAAGTTATCATGAGAATATCTATATAAATGTGGTTCAGTTCTTTCAGTAGAGTATCAAGGACCAAATAACAGACTCTCCAAGTTGGAAGGGAACCCAAAAGTCACCTAGTAATTATAAATTGCCTTTAAGACATAGTCTCCAAGACTTAATTCAAAAACTTCTGTTTTCAGTTGAGGGGATCTCCCATTACCATTCAAGGAAACCCACTCCATTTCTGAACAGTTTTGATTGCTAGACAGTCTTATCTTAAATCAAGTTGAAATCTGCCTTTTGGGGACCTCTGCCTAGTGTTTTACATTTAGCCAAGGACAAGTTGATTCTCATTTTCATGTTACAACCCTTCAAATACTTAAAGACTGACATCATGTCCATTCTATTCATTGCAACAATAATGTATGAAGCCCCTATAATGTGATAGGTACTGGAGATACAGGCATGGCAGGGGACACATATTATACAAAGGCACTGAGATAGGAAATAGAATATTATGTACAGGGGAAAGTAAGTAGACTGGCTGGACTACTCTGTGGAATGAGTGATGGGGATTAATGTGTGGTCAGTTTTGAAAAGATAGTTTGTGTAGGTCCATGAACACCAAACAGAGAAGTTTTTACCTTTTTTCTAGGGAAAATAAGAAGCCACTGAAACTCCTTGAGCAGGTGCATGCCGTTGTCAAACCTGTAATTTAGGAAATCTATCAACTTGTAGAGGATCAATTGGAGAGGGATGAGGCTGAATGCAAAAGGATGAATTGGAAGGCTATTCCAGTAGATGAGGTAAGAAGTGATGAGGACCTGAATTGGGGTTCTGGTGTGAATGGACAGAAGAGGACAGATAAAAGAGATGATGTGGAGGTAGAATGAACATGACTTCATAAATGATTGAATATGATGGGTGAACCAGAGTAAAGGATTAAGAATAGGTCCTAGGAATCATCATATAAATATCACTCTTATTATTGCTAATAAAATACAAATTTCTTCTTCTTCTTCTTGTTCTTCTTATTGGTGTTCTTGTTGTTCTAACACTACTACTACTACTACTACTACTACTACTACTACTACTACTACTACTGCTGCTGCTGCTGCTGCTGCTGCTGCTGCTGCTACTACTACTTACCACCACCACCACCACCACCACAAAGGGAATGTGGCCAAGGAATTGAAATAATTTCAAGAAATAGAAAATCATAACTATTCAGTTCACTGTAATAGGATTTGATCTGTAGCATAAATGTAAAAATCATAATGAATGCATTTATACTGTATGGGGCCAAAGACTCCACAGCTTGCTTGGAAATGTTGTCAATGCATATTTTTAATTGGAAGGATGTGGTTTGAGAATTCCCAGAAGACAAAATAAAGCATCCTTTACTACCCACAACTTAGGAGACATATCACTGCACACCACATCATCATCGTAGTTGAAGAGAGAGATTCTTTCTTAATTGTCATGAACTATACTGTAAGAGTATATTCAACATACAAACTCCCACAACGGAACTGCATTTAAGAGAAATATGGAAAGATGAATTTGGTCTCTGGGCCTTTGACAGTCTGTCTCATTTGGGGAAGGCTATTGCCTCGCTTACTTCAGAGATTTAAATTATACAGGTACATTAGTGAAAAGGCAGTGAGGATGTTCCCTAGAGTCACACATTTGGGGAGGGTCCTCCTGGAGAAAATAGGTTATATAAGATTATATGAAATGTTGCAGAAAATATTTCAAGATGCTGCAAGGAAATTCCTTTCCTAGGAGAAGGCTTTGGGAAAGTACTTCTCCTCAACAAGAAAACCCACACAGTACAGGGAGGCCATAAAGGTGACAGACTTTAGAGGAACATCTGTCAGAATATCTGTAAAGACAAAGGATTATGGAAATATAAGAAATGTAGGAATCTTTCCCATTAAAACACAGCTCATATTCAAATCAGAGAATTCCTAATGAAAAGAAACCTTGTACAGACAAGGAGTGTGAGACAGCCTTAAGACAGAGAACAAATATTTCTGAATATCATAAGTGTTCACACTGGAAGGAAACTCAATGAATGCAATGTATATGGAAAGGTCATTATTCAGAGGAAGACCTTGAATATTCCTAGAAATATGCTCTATAATATGAAAAACATTCAGTATAAAGGGGTTGGCGTATCTCATCAAACATCACAAACCCACTTTGGGCAGAAATCGTAAGTATACAGGGAATGTGGCATAGCCTTCAGTTAGAATTCTGCCCTATTTCCCCTTTAGTGAACTCATCCTGGAGGTGATTCTTACAAATGTTAAAATATGAGAAAGGAAATTTCATTTGTCCAAAATAGCAGAAATGTAAGGAATGTGGGAAGGCCAAATAAAATAAATGAACATAAAAGATAAAAAAGAAATCTTCTGAAAAAATTAATAGTCTGAAGTAATGAGTAATCTCCTCCACCCAAATATAGCAAATGGAAGATATACTATAGTAATAAAGAAAGAGAAGGGAATAAACTTTAAGAATAATTACAAGACACAAATAAATGTAAAAAAAATAGAACTACTGCAAGAACTCCCAGCATAGTTGAGAAACTTAATAAACCAATTAAATCAAGATATAAAGCAGGAAACTGGAGTTCTACAATTTGAAATGACAAAAGAATTGATAGTTTAGAACTAAAAAATACTTTACTAAGTCTCTGTTATTTCAAAAGAGGTTGTCAGAAAAGCAACACATAAAAGCTGAGATTCAACAAAAAATATTAGGCTGAAGTTCAAAGGTAGCAAAATTGGAAGAACAATTGAAAGAGATCTTTACAAACTAAAACAATTGACCTTGTATATGGAATTTAGTAAGATAATCTAAGAATCATTAGCATCCAAGAAAAAATATGATGAAACATAATTCAATATTTCAAGAGATCATGTAAGGAGATTTCCTGGAAGAACTGGAATCGGAAGACAAGTCATACACATCTCTAGCGTTTATTTCTCCTGATAATCCCCACTTTAACTCAGCCCAAAATGTAGTTGTTAATCTCCAGAGATTTGGAATTGAAGAATGAGTCCTACAACCTAGCAGGAAAAGGGTATTTCACATTTTATGGAACACCAGTTTGAATTATATAAGACTACTCATCAATGATTAAAACTGAGAGAAAAGAGTGGAATTAGATATAACAAAAACAAAGGAAAACAGCTTGTTCTGAAGTATAAGAGATAATGAAAAAAATTGAGTATATTTTTGTATATTTTTTATGCAGCAAAGATGGACTGTCAGCAAAAATCAATGATTCTAATTATTCCTCTTAAGAAAGCTAGAGCTGATCAAAGTATTTCAAATGCAAACAATAGACAAAAGAATCTAAAGTCCATACAGTGTGAAAAGGATAAGTAATGACTCATTGTTTATATATTATAACAATTATGCAAAAATACATACTTTTTTTAGATATTCCACTTTGTGCAACTGTCACTGAGGGAACAAAGAGAGAATAGTGATGGACTAGTCCCATGAAGGGTGATCAGACATGCATACTAGAGAAAGGAAAGGATGATGAGTTGATTTAGTATTTCTAGAAAGCTTAGTGTTACAGGTTAAGCCAATTCAAACAATTTGGTTGGATATTGGTATGGAAAAAAAGGGTCATACAACATATTTTTACTTGGGCAAGGCAAGGAAAATGTAACATAAAATTTTAACAGTAAAAGTAGAATCAAGGATTGTAGGCTGAGTATGAAGGGTCAAGGATTAATCTTTGTATAAAGATGGAGAATCAGAGTATTTCTAGCAAAACAAACTTTTTTTTGTATCTAATGCTACTTTTAAAAAGTAATACAAAAGATTTGATGGAGAAAAAAATCAAACTTAATTATAATCTTAAATGTTAATGATCTCTAACATCTGAAATTATAGAGATTTGATACAATTCTATAAGGTAAAGGAGACTTCCTCAAAACAAAATCAAAATACATGAAATTTTCAAAAGAAGAAATACAAAATATAAACTGTCACATATAAATGAAAAAAACTAATGATCAGATCATTTTAAATTGAAGCAGCCCTAAAGTATCTTTTCAAACCTATCAAATTAGCAAAGATGAGAAAATGTGAGAAAATTCTGCATAAAAGGAGTTATGGGAAAGCAAGTTGCTGATTTACTACCTGAAGTCATCATTTCAAACATACCCCTTAACTTAATGATATGGCAAAAGAAATAATAATATTGTAGATACTAATGTATCATAGAAATACATAAATAGTAAAATACGTAACGATATACGTATCAACCCACATCATGTGTTCCTACCAATGAATTAAATAACTACTGTGGAGAGTGGGCACAAACTTAAAGGAACCTGGCATGGAAATACATAAGAGAGGAAAACTCATGCGTGGGATAACTCACAACTCCTGGCAACTCAAGCTCCAGTATTATCGGTCTATTCAGGAAGAGCTGCAGCAGGTGAAACTGCTTCTCTGCTCAGTGCTTGACTCGGGATTTTCACTTCTTTTTAGCTGGGAAAATCTCTTCTCTTCTCAGGCTGCCAATTCTTCACTCACTCGGATACTCTGATGTCCAATTAGAATAGAGCACATAAAACAGGATTCCTGCTCACCTGTTTACCGAAGCAGTTGGAAAGCCCACTCTGCTCTTCCTTTCAAGGCAGGAATGGCAGCAGAGAACCATAATCCCTTATGATCCCGTTTCTCCGCCTTTAGGTGATCCTGAAGAGTAGTAACTGTCACTGCAGCTCTGGACCAATGAAATTAGTTTTTCTCCAGCCAATCAGGACTCACTCAGCTGAAATCGCTCAGCCTTGTCTCATATGACTGCTTCTACCGCAGCTCTAAGGAGTGGCTTTCCAGCCTCCCTGCTATGTCTCCAAGATTCCTCTTCCTCTCCTGTTGCTGCTTCCATGCATACCTCGGATGAAAGGCAAGAATCTCAAGCTTGACTCAAGACAAGATCTTCAGTCACTCAGTTTTTATTTAAAAGGCCACAACACCCCAAATTTTCAACATCAAATATAGTCCTTTTAAAATTATGCCTCAGTCTCTAAATGTTCACATGATTTCTTATTTCCTGAAGTTGTACCCTTTTGATCATAACATATGCACACGCAAACTAGCTCAGACACCCATCATACTTTTAGTTATGAAGTCTCCCAACAGATCCTCCATCATTTTGGTGCCCTTGAAACTCTTTCTTTGTGTTCATATTTCTCTATATTTTAATAAAGATTTCTCCTTGCTTCCTCATAATATTAAATTCTTCCCACTTAATCAAGGTATTATCCCTCCTCAAATCTAGACTAGAAATAATTTTCTCTCTAAAACAATAATCCTATCTAAAAGCTGGTTTTTTAGTATATATTTAATAGTTATTAAAAACAAAGTTTTCTCTGCTTATATTGTGTCAAAATATTCAGCCATAACAATGGCAATATCTTACATCATTTAACAATCAACAGTCTCTTCCTTTACACCAAATACCTTTTCTGCCCTTTTTCTCATTAACTGCTCATGAAAAAGGCTTTAGAGAAAGCACACTTTATCCTAGAAATATAGGGAATCATTGAAGATTTTTGAATGGGGAGTGAGATGGCTCAAACTGTTTTAGAAGTCTATTTAATGGCTCATAGGGTGGTTACAATCCGTGTTGAAAAAGGGAGTGGTCACAGTGATGAGATCACAGATCACTGAGGTACTGAGGAATTCATTTAACACCCAAAATGGGTACAGGCCCAAATGAAGCAGGGCTTAGATTGCCATGTTTATTATTCTGAGGGAGTTAAGTTGGCCATCACATCTATTTTTAGTGGGATATGAATCCATTCAGCTTAAGTAGTAATACTGACTTTTGTTTCCGTGACTCTGTTTTCATTGTCTTGTCTTGCTTGAATATTTTTTGGGCTATGAGCTACTTTCTAGAATGGGATTCACAGTGTCAGTTAAACTCAATGTTGACAAATTATCCCCCTAAATCCCAAAGTTCTCTCTCTGAACAAAGATCCAGACTGGTCCTGCTGAAGATCCACTGAGGACAGTCTCAAACCACAAATTTGAGGGAATTTAGTAAGAAATCAGAGTGAGTGTATGTGTACCTAGGAAGAGAAAAGTGATAATCATAGCATTATGCGAGCAAGTATTTTGAGCTACCATATGCTTTAGAAACTGTTTAGTCAAACCTCCTCATTTTACAAAAAAGGCCTGGAAGCCCTAGAGGTGAAGTGACTTACCTAATATCACACTGGCAGTAAGAAAAAGACCTACAATTTGAAGCCAAGTCCTTTGACTCCAAATCTAGGACTATTTCCACTGTACTGCTCAGGATAAATGTATTGAATCTTCTTTCCCTCCTTTCTCTCATCTTCAGACTACAGGTATTTTCCCTGGTCCCTTCCAAGAAGGTGAGAGAAGTATGAACCTAGATGGTCCTTTGCATTCAAGCCAAGTTGGGGCAGCTTTGTTTTGATGCTTAAAGAGGGTCTGCATGGTAATAACAGCCTCCACTCACACAAGATGGCTGGATGTGGACAAATAAAGTGGGTTGTTTCTGGGGATATTTATCCTTTTGGCAAATGAGCCATTCTGTGGAAACAAAATAGACTTTTGGCTCCATTTGTAATCCTACTAATTGTGGTAGGGATTATGATCTTAGTTTATCCCCTTCTGCTCAAGATTCCAGCAGTTGGGAAAAACTACTAAAGCTCTCACCAGACAGCCCTGCCAGCCCAAGGGTTCAGAAGATAAAGACAATTGACCTTTCCCAGCAGGAGCAGTGCTTGACCTCCCATTGGCTTTATAGACAGACTTTGTCACAGTGACAAGGTCTGTTATCCAAAAAAAGGTAGAAGAAGGTCAGACCTTTGAAATCAAAACCACTCAAGATTATCTTCCTGGAGAACCTGAAATTCAAGTGTCAGACAAAGTTGAAGATTCTTCTCTATTATTTGGTTTTGGCCTGATGGATCATGAGTTTTATAAAGTAGAACTGTGGCCAACATGTAATCATATTTGTAGGTTGCATTCATATTTATATTGCTAGGTGGTAAGCAACAGGTGCATCTTACAGAGTCTTATAACAATTGAGATAGTACAAAAAATCTTGAACCTCAAGCAAGAAGGCCACAATTTGTTCAAGGACAGGTGATTCTCAGCTCTGAGGCATGGAGTCTATGATGCCTTGGTATAGTACAGAGAATAACGAAGAGTCAAATGTCTTTAAAATATAGGATACTGAACTCTTGCCCAGGGATGGAGCCCACCAACAAAAACTGTCAAAACATTTCCTTAGAGTCCTGTGAATCTGATTAAACGTTTTCTTAGTCAGCTCAGCACTTTACAGATTTGCCTTCTTCTGAATCCTTGAGATCTTCAGAAGTTTGTGATCTTGTAAGTGGAATGGGCTGCTTTGAGAGATAGTGGGATCTCTCTCATTGGATATCTTCAAGCAGAAGCTGGAGATTTCCCTTTGGGTTGGAATAGTTGGATAGTAAGGTCCTGATTCTGAAAGTCTTAAAAGGAGCTAGGCCATTGATGGAGTGAGAGCAGCAAATACATGATAAATAGCTCTTAAGATGTATTGGTACTCATATATTGTCAAGTTACTTAGAGGAAGGCCCCCAAAATGTTAGCTAGACATGCTGTAAATTCAGGAGAGCATGTGGACAAGGATCACGCAGAATAAGAAGGCATGGATGGGTCATAGGATTAAAAGTACACACAGATCGGAGATCCAGTGAAGTTAGCTGGAAGCTGATTTAGCTTAGATTGTAGTACAGTAGTGTAAGAGAACAATTCAACTGCATTCATTACAAAGAAGAGTCTGGAACAATCTAAAGAATTGGACAGCTTAGACAATTTTACCTGAAGTCAAATACTATAAAGTCAAATATTGTTAAGTTAGTCTCTAAGCACTCAGTGGAAAAATATCTGGAAAAATTAACAGGCAGGGGACTTCCCGAGTGGTTATCAAAAGGTTTCATACTGTCTTGAGTTCTTTAAACCGGGGAATCCTACAGGATTGATTCACAAGTAACAGTATGTCACTTTCTTAAGAGAGATGCTCAAAAATAAATTGGAAAAAAATCAGTATTCCTAGTTCCACCTTCTTGGGCCAAGCAGAAAAAGTCTAATTGTACATGTCAGCCTGTCAAACACTTGAAAGCAGCTATCACTCTCCTACAAAGTGTTCTCTTTCCATGCTAAACATCCCTAGTTCCTTCAAGGAAACCCTCATGAGGCATGAAATCGTGGCTCTTCTCAATGCTGACTGTCATCCTTTGGAACTTACAGATTATCAGCGTTCTGCCTCTAGTATGGTATTTGCTCACACTGAACACCATAATCTATATGAAGTCCGAGCAGGGCAAAGTAATACTCTCACCCCTGGCCTTGACACTATGCTGTCTTAATAAAGCCTAATATCACACTCAGCTCTCTTAGGGACATAGCATATTGCTTATCATTGAGTTTACAATCCATAAAGTGTCCTGGATCCACTATCCACTTCTTCCCCACGTCATAAATGTAAAGTAGAGTTTTGGAACTCAGGATAAGGTTATCTTTGTTCCTTTTCCAGGACATTTGAAAGCACGAACTCTGGAGTCAAAAGACCAGAGTTCAATTCCTCCTTCTGGTATATGCTACTTGTGTGGCCCTGGGCAAGTCCATGAACTGCCTTGGGTCACCAAATGAAGGGTTTGCATTAATTTAATTATTGATTTTGTTCTTGCCAAAAGTTTGACAGAACTTGAAAAAAGTCAGATGGGTTTGAGGCCTAAGGTTCAGCTACTGTGCCAAAATTGTTAGTGCAGCCCTTGTCATTAGGGACAAAGGCACACACAGCACCCTGAACTCTTTCAATAGGCTTTTGCTCTGAAATATACATGATCCAGTCCCTTATCGGGAGGGACTTTTGACAATTGTCACTATCATGGCTCAGTCTACTAAGGCCTTGGAATGGAAAGCATTGTGAAAGGATTGAGAATTTGTTCATATGTATATGAAGGTTGCCAACCAATCTGTAATCACAGTGGAATTGGACAGAGAGCAGCTTCCTTCTCTTAGGAGGAATATGCCATAGTCTTCAAATGGCATGTTTGATGATGCCCTTTGTAGGTTTCTAGTCATCTGGGTGCACTTCAACACGTTTGTTTGTGAAATGGAAGGTCTAGATTAGCCACAGTATCCCATCCACAGAGCAGCCAACAGGAATCTTATTGATTTCCATTCCTGAGAAAATTCTAGATGGATCTTTAAAGAAATGGTCTGGAAAGGCCTGGCTTTGTCAACAACAGATTATGATAGAATAACTTCAGGATTATTAAACTAGTTGATGAGAGGAATGTTGTGGGTAGAGTCTACCTAAATTTTAATAAAGCTTTGAAAAAATATCTCATACTGGTTTTTTTTTTTTTTTTTTGCTTTTTGGTGAGGCCATCAGGGTTAAGTGACTTACCCAGGGTCACACAACTAGTAAGTGTTAAGTGTCTGAGGCCGGATTTGAACTTAGGTCCTCCTGACTCCAAGGCCAGAGCTCTATTCACTGGGCCACCTAGCAGCCCTAATGTCATACTATTCTTGTGGAGAAAAACTGACCATGTCCCTCTTCTGCTCAATGAACTCCAGTGGCTCTCTGTTCCTTCCAGGATCAAATAGAAAATCTGCTGCTTGGCATTTAAAGCTCCTCCTAACTTGATTCTTTACTATCTTTCCAGTCTCTTTATACTTT